TTAGTGTTTCCATGTTTTCACTGATGGTCTAACAATGATTGATTGATTGATGCATTCAATGTGTAAAAACAATAATGAAATGTCATGATCAGTGAATTTCAACCCTGTCAGGTTACCTACTGAAGACTATGGGTGGAGATTGATTGAAGTTAGACGTTAACACCGATAGATACTGCTGGCTTATTGTTGTAGAGGTTAAATAGTTGCGTATGAGAGCAAAGGTTTTAGGGTCGATTCACGTGTATGAGGGTCGTGTTAGCTCACTACCATTGAGAAGTCCTATACTAAGAGGAAACGGTCGCGTTTCATTGCTTTTATGTTTTTAATGGTGGTTTCACGCAATGACTGATTCATAATTCATAGTTTAAATTATTCTTATTCTCTCATGGTTTTCTAATCCTTGGATTGTCGTTATGTAAGCTGTTATTGATATTTGAAATGTTGGGGTCAGTTTATGATGTCGTCTCCTCGATCTGTTGATATAGACTGATACAATTTTAACAAAATAATTTTGTCAGAAAGATAATTTTCTTCACTTTGTGATTATTTCATATTGATTTGAAAATATTACATGTCTGCGTAATCACTGTTTTTTTTATTCTGTTCAACGTTATTAATGACTGATTTGTTAATTAAGCCTGTTACCCCCTATAAGGTAAAGGCCGCCTGCCAGCATTCTCCAGCCTACTCTATCCTGAGCCATTGGCATTGACTTTGTGGTTTCCGAAAGAAAATCGACTTTCATCATAACTCTTCTAAATGAAGACTTTCTAACTCTCAAAGCAAAGTTGAATTTAGTTTGAATTCCGTGATGGTAGATGAAATTACTAGTTCAAGTGGATGATTGTCGTGGTGTTTCGTTCTTTGAGCTGGATGTTTTGGTTGTGAAGCTTTCATAGTTCTTTTGAACAATGTCATCAGGACGAAATTCACATACAAGTGAAGTATTTGTTAATAGTATTCATATCGATGTCTAGAGTTTGTGCTGATGATGTTATTCATAAGAACTATGAAAGCTCCAGCTCAGAATTGAATTTCTACGGGACGATGTCTCTGTTAACCTCATGCCCCCCGCCTAACCTCCCCCCTCATACTTTTATCCTGGCTCGGGACAGCCAGTAATCCAAGACAAGTTCCAGGCTAATAATAGTTAATAGAAAAAATTAGAATTTCACATCAATGAATATTAATGTAAGCATATATATGTATATATATTAAATCTAGTTATGTTGCGTAGTTGATCATAGTTAACATAAAATAACGAACGTCATAATAAAAATGTATCATGTGACTAATTTTTTGTTTGTTTGAATAAACTAACATTTTCATTTATTATTATTATTATTATTATTATTATTATTATTATTATTATTGTCTTGTCGCTTTTGCGTGTACTGACTGACTGATGTACCATCAGCAGCTATTTACTAGAACAGTTTAATGTTTTACATATATTTATACATAAATATGTCACAATCAATGTAATTAATTGCATGAACTCAAAATGATGATATTTGCCATATATATGTATGGGTTTATATATGGGTTTCTAACGTCACATCATTTCACCAAAAACCCAATAAAACAATTACAAACAATTCTTCTTCTGTTTTTCTTTATTGAGTTAATGATATTGTAGCAAACTCATTGAATTTAGCAAATTACTACTGTCTGTCTGCAATACAGTTGATCCTTTCATGTACAACCGATCGATCAATCAGCCAATCAATAGCGTCATAGAACTTTGTACGTACATACGTACGTACGTAGATCAGTTCAGATTGCCATACCACTACTATAATTAGCACAAAGAGATATGGAATTGTCAATTCCAATCCTATAGTAGTAGAGGTAGTAGAAGTAAGTATTCGTAGTATTCGGAGAAGTATTGTTCAGTGAAATAAACTTTAAAAGAAAAGAAAAAGAGAAAAAGTGATGAGTAATTTTAGAAGGTTAGATAGAATTTGAGAGGATACAGAGAATGAATGAACCTGAGCCATGTCATTCATTTATATGGTCTCGAACTATCGCGGACCCCAACCAAAGTAGTCGATACCTACCGACATGACTTAGTCAGTCCACTTGTCAGTGACTTCATGGATTTGTGCCATGTTTTGGTGTGGCCGCCCCCCCCAAGCTTTCTACCAACCTACTCCTTCTACACCACAAAACAAAGCTCTTCGAGGCAGTCGGTGGTTAGGCATACATAAAGTTTCAATACTTCATCTATTGATCTGCCATCTCTATCCAGTACTCGTTAGCGGCGACCTCATGGCGTAGAACACTAACTCGCTAAAAAACGCTCACCAGGTGTATACTACCTGATTGCGGTCCATGGGACGAAAGTCACCAATGGTTAAAGACCTTGAATGATATGGCTTAAAACCGTTTGCAATTATCTTTGAACCCTAATCTTCTCCATTAACGCTAACTCTTCTACTATCTCCAGCACTAAGGGATTTGAACTGACAATTGCGTCTCTGTGTGCTAATGTAGTATGGTAACCTGAACTGATGTACGTAACGTACAAAGTTCTACATTTTAGCTGACTGACTGAATCGATACAAATTTATCGATATTGTGGTTGGATGATTATCCTGTTGTTGTTGTTGTTGTTGTTGACAGTTTTTTTGGGCTGAAACTTGATCAATTTTAGTTAGTACCTAGAGCATATTTCTCGATGTATTGCGTTTATTGGCCTTCCTCTCTTCTTTTTACCTTGACTGTTTCAAGTGAGAGCTTGTCTTTTGTGACGCAGGTGGGTGCTTTCTACAGTGTGGGTCTTATCCACTTTCACCGCCTCTTCCGCTGGAATCTGGTTTGTTCTTTCCCATAGTAGATTGTTGCTGATAGTGTTCTGGCCAACGGATCCGAAGTATCTTGCATAGAGAACTGTTAATAAATACTTGTATCTTCTGGCTGATGGCTTTCGTAGTTCTCCAAGTTTCCACTCCATACAGTAGAACTGTTTTATTACGAAAAAAAAATATTTATATTCTGTTATCATTTGCGGTGTCGCAGATGTTAACTCGGTATGCACTGAAGACTTAAGCAAGCAATCAGACCAGAGTGGAAGATAAAGTCTATTTGATCAACAATTATTGTCATGAATAACGCATCTCTCTGTATATGTTGACATTCCTTCCCGTTAAAGTATCACTGCATTTCTTGACCCAATGGATATGCATTGATCCTTCAAGGCAATTTCCTATGATGACCATCTGATTCGATGACTTCTATAATTGGCTCTCTCTTTACTACTACACATTTCCTACCATGTTTTCATGTTGTATCATTTTAAATCAAACCTGTGTGTGTACATGTGTTGTGACTAATAGCATGAAAATTGAAAATATTTACACACTTATAGTAGTTTGTCATAGATCATGTGTAGGCTTAAAAACATGTTTACTATTTTCTGAATGTTTTATGTATCGAAAAATATATACATATATATATATATATTCATATATCAATATTTACAGCTTGGTTGTTTGACGAGACAATGTAGCGTTGGCGTATTTTTTTAAAAAAAAAAACTTGATCAATGTCCAATCATTGAATCTATTTGGTTCCCATTCAATAACAGCTCTAGCTAACTAACCAACTAACTAATTAGAGTTTTGCTCCAATGTTACTGTTGATCACAATGCTCTATACTTTTTGGTTGTTAGAAAACTCGACTAGTAGCATTTGACATGTGTAAAACCTGAAATTGGATTATTGAATATTTATGTCCAGAGTTTAAACACCACAACATGGCAGTAGTGTGGTGCGAGCTACTTATAAGTAGTAGTATATGACGTGAGTGTCAACGTAATGTCTGGCAGCAGCAGATGGAGGAAGATCAAGAAAGGAAGAGTTAGAAAACAATGGAATTTGTGTATGAAACGCATGAATAGTAGTGACAATGGATTGATGTTGTTTGCAACAGGGACAGTCCAGTTTGATATGATGAACTGATATCTTGCAAATTAACGATTTACGATATGGTTTTCCTATTTTACTGAGTAACTCTGTAATTTGCCCCACCTGTGTTCTCCTTCACTACAGTAGTAGTAGTAGTAGAGCACAGTAGTCACACAAAGTAATCACACAGTTGATTATCTGTAATCGGAATCATTGTTTTCGTTTCTCCATTACGCAATCATTCGACTTCAAACTTTCGTGTTGAATCTATCTCTCTATCTCTCTCTGTGAATTCTCCACCTCTTGTTTAAGTACACTTTTTATTTAAAAAGGACAAAATTATACGTTGAACACTTGGCTGTAATTCTTACATTGTACATATAGTAATTACTTACTTTAACAATAATATAATTATTTAAATCATGAATCAATCATTGTTAGACGACCATCATTAGAAACCCGAAAGCATTGGATAGCCGTTTTGTCCTGGTATGTTACTCATTAAGAATGCGCATCCAAAACTCCCGCTACTCACAGGGTTCGAACCTAGGGCCTTCGAGCCAACACTTAAACTCTGAACCAATGATCTGGCATCGAACGGTCTTCTTGTCTAACTAACTCTGATCAATCCAAAGTTTCGCTCAACCTTATCCAATGATGTGACCATTGAAGTTCAACCCTGTCAAGTTTAGGCAATAAATACCGAAAATATTGGTGAGATTGCACAAAATCCCTAGATTGATCAGATTTAGACATTAATACAGTTGAATACAAGCTCAATGGTTCATGAATTAGGCGTACACGCGCAATACCGAAGGTCCTGCGTCCGAATGCTGTGAGTATCGATGGTCATGGATGCGCTTCGCTGCTGATGAGTATTTCCATTCTAGGACGAAACGGCCGTCTTCTATCCAATACTTCGAGATTTCTAATACGGGGTCTATCAATGACTGATTCATGATCTCCTTAATTGTATCATGAAAACTGATTCTTTAGTTATTTTTTTCTAAATGAGATATATTATTACCATATACCACCTACATTGTACATAAGCTATGCTTAAAAAGTGCTTAAATTTTGTATTTTTACAGATCACCTACCACTAGAGAAAATACATTGGATTCGTTTCGAACAGCTGTACAACATGTAATTTAATTTTCACTTAATTAGTTCGTTTGTGTGTGTGTGGTTTTGAAATTCCATTTCGCTGTTCTGTTACACTATCAGTATTTGTTTTTAGTAAATTAGTAGGCATATGATATGATATGTTCATCACTAGGTACACTTGAAGCAATTACGAAGTTCACCAGCGTCTAGATAGGCTACCTTGAATCCCAAACTGTAAAACAGAAGACTTTGTAAGCGTAGAAAGTATATATTTTACAAACACCCAGCAATCACACAATACAATCAACCATACAACTCTCGTTTATTTATACAACTTAGAAACGTCCTTAGGACAGTTAACAAAAATACTACACTAAAATACACAGCAGCCAATCACAGCCATGGATTTTCATGGTTGGAAATTAAATTACAAGGTCAACTGATTCTTTGATGTTCGCAAACGTGAAATCCAGAAAATAAGGCATTTTTTAACAAGCGAGTTTTGGGGATCGATCTAACTTCCCCAACAATATAACAGATTGATATTGACAGTTGTTTAAATTTTGTTGTTCGGATTTAGTTTTTTGAAAAACTCGTTAGTGTTGACTACCACATCTTCAATTGTTTTGTGTTAATGTTTTCTGAAATTAGAAGATATTTCAAGTCTTATTTGTTAAGGATTTATATCCTAAACACAAGTGATTATAACCTAACTATTCATTAGGTGTTTGTCAAGAAAGTTGGATAGTGGTTAGAAGTAGAATACAGGATGCACGTTTCATCCTATTTCAGACTCATCAGCTGCACGTACCTGCGTCTCAGTGTTGATGTTCACTCTGAGACTTAAATCCCACAGTACGGCATTTCAGCTAATAGTGCAATATCGAGGCGATCCACACGGATGGTCATCGATGCCAAATCATTCTGATCAATTACAATCAATAAGAGAGTTATACTTCATCTCGTTGTTTAAACCAGTGTTTATCGAGACTGTAATTAAGTGTAGCGAAAGATATTAAGTCTGCGTCATGGAGTAATAAACATCAACTCTGAGATTCAAATACATTCAATTGAAAGGTCTTGAATCGACTGAAACATTTCTCTTGAATTTCACTGCTATTTCACTATCCATCCACTTCTGCAGACAGACAATATCGATCGATTCCATCTGTATAGAATGAGCATATATGCCAAATGAAGAATACTATGTGATCCGTTTAAAAAAAAAACCAGTACAAACGGTTGTCTATTTTTTTGTGTCACCTTGTCAAAATCATTTGATTCTCTTGATAAAAATTTTTAATCTAAAATTTCTATTGTATCATGATAATTTTAGGTCATGATGTACCAACCATTTAAGAGTTCATATTAGATAGAAAGGGGTATTAAATAACCAGTCTCTCTACGCTAAAAGTCATGTCATTTTTATTAATAAATTTACAATGTATATATAATAAAAAAATTTAAAAAAAATTTTTTCATTAAAATTAACAATTAATCTCTTTAATGAAAAAAATAAAATAACAACTATGTTGTTAGAACAATGAAAGAAGGACGCAGTTAATCTGGTCATATACCTACACACACACACACACACACATTAAGGCATTTTTGTTAATGAAAAAGAGGTCAATTGAAATTAAACAGTTCAAATATATGTGTATAAAACACATTAAGTGTAATCATTGTAAGCATAAAGAAGAGAGAAACTTAACACTGTATAGTAAGTAAGTAGACAGACGAAGCTTGAGAAAATGACTCTCTTTTCAATCAGTCAGATGCAACGTAGAACTTCGTACGTAAGTACATCATCAGTTCATGTCGCCATACCACATTAGCACACACAGATGTAATTGTCAATTCAAATCCAATAGTAAAAGAGGTAGTAAAGGTATTAGAAGTAATCGGAGAGGTTAAGATTAGAAGATATTATTCAAGAAGTATGATTCAGTGAGTGAGAAAAGTTTAGAAAGTCAAAACTAGAGGTGTTGAAGAATCCAGAAGATTAGGATTTGAGAGAACACAAAGAATAAATGCACCGGCGCCATTGCGAACGATTTTGAGCCATGTCATTCAAGCTCTCTAACCATCGATTATTATCATCTCGCGGACCCCAACCAGGTAGTCGACAACAGACAACAATAAAAGGAGGACAATATGCACTACAACAGACAATGTGAATGAGATGGTGGAGAAAATTTGTAGCTCAGATGGTGTTTCGTTTTCTATGGGCTGGATGTTCTGGGTTGTGGAGCTTTCATTGTTCTTCTTCTGAACTACAACATCATTATCAGCACAAACTTCAGGTATGGAAGAAGTGAAGTGGTGTTCGAATTTCTCCGCGTTTGATCTGTAGCTTATTCTGCTAATCTCGATCTTGATTGGTTGTTGTTAATGCACTCAGCTTAATCAGCAATCAACAAACACATCGACATTGACCCAATTTATCAATCAATCAATCAGGAAAATCATAGGCTAACATAGGATCAAGAAACAGATCAAAAGGGGAATTGTAGGCTTTAATTTGTCTTACAGGTATACTTCTACAACGGTAAACACAATATTGTTGAACACAGATTCTATGGGAAAGCTATAGTAGTTAGAAGAAGATCAACTTTTGCTTTAAACTTTATCTGTTTCTAAACATAAAAACAATTAAATTAGTACAATAAATAAGGAAATTACAATTATCAAGTAAGACGGGCAAACATACCGACCAATATAAGCGTGTCTCTGGAAATGAATAAAACTATCAGTCATCAATTTAATAAGATAATAATATCAATCAATTTGTAGGTCATTTACAGAAAAGAAAATTTACAGACATGTCAGATCAGATCATGTGGTGGGCGCTTAAACCATAATTTGATTGGTTAGTTATGACATAACTACAATTACAAAATAGTGGTGCAAACAACGACAGGTTTAATGTCAACAGCAACCAATCAAGATCGAGGTTAACAGAACAACCTACAGGTCAAACATGGAGAAATTCGAATGCTTCACTTCTGTTATCTGAAGTTTGTGCTGATGATGTTGTTCTGTTTAGAAGAACAATGAAAGCTTCACAACCAAAACATCCAGCTCAGAGAACCCAAACCCCAACACGACAATGCGAATTTTCTTTACTGACATTGCTTCGATTTCAAATGTGATTATCTACTGAATTTTCATAAAAATAGTCAATGTAAACATCAGTTAAGATGTGGGGAAATGAAAAGTGTGTTTTTTTATCTCACTTCAATGTGAATTAAACGGTTTGATTGTAAGACAGAGATTGAAAGCAACCATGATTCCACACAGACCTAGACATTGCTCGAACGATTACATCACATCCCTTTGCATTTACCAGTTGACACACTTACATCGGACATTGCAATCAAAGGTTAATTGGGACATGTATCTAAATGGCTACAAAATCAGTTAAGTTCAAGTGACCCAATTATAACGTGAGAAGTAGAAAAATCATTTTCATCAATAGTGAAGCACATAATCGAAACGAGGCATACCATTGATATCAAGTTACTTTTCATAATATTGTATAGAAATATTCAAGAACACATTCTTAGATTTATAGAGAAGCCTTAGCTATTTGTAACTCTGAGAACCCCTCCTTATAAGATACAGAAACAATTTATTGTAACCTTGAATTTACCCTGAGAACCTTTAAGCTATCTGAGGATAATGTAACAATTTCCTATTCTCTCGATATTATGTTAATTTTCTCTCTCGTTTATTTTTAATTACTTACTTACTTACTTACTTACACATGTTATCCACTATGGAGATGATAATAATCGATGGTTGGTTAGATACCCTGAATGACATGGCTCAAAATCGTTTACAATGGCACCGGCGCATTTATTCTCTGTGTTCTCTCAAATCCTAATCTTTTGGATTCTTCAACAACTCTAGTTTTGTCTTTCTAAACTTTTCTCACTGAATCATACTTCTTGAATAATATCTTCTAATCCTAACCTCTTCGATTACTTCTAATACTTTTACTACCTCTTCTACTATTGGATTTGAATTGACAATTACATCTCTGTGCTGATGTGGTATGGCGACATGGACTGATGTACTTACGTACGAAATTCTACATTGCATCTGACTGACTGACGCTATGGATCATAGGCCGCCGACCTATTCTGTCCTAGGCTTCCCTTTCCGGTTACATCCAACTGTTGTTCATTCTTCTCATGTCTATCTCCATTTCTCGGCGTAATGTGTTCTTTGATCTATCTACGTCTACTCTTTTGACCTTGAGGATTCCACGTGACGGCTTGTCTTGTAACGTCGTAGTTGAGTGTTGTTTTCTTCAATGTGTTTTTGCCAACCTGCGTCACTTATGGCGTAGGTGTGATATCCGTTCTCTAATCAAAGGACTACCTGGTTGGGGTTCGCCAGATGATAATAATCGATGGTTAGAGCCTTTGAATGACATGGCTCAAAATCGTTTGCGATAGCGCCGGTGCATTTATTCTTAGTGTTCTCCAAAATCCTAATCTTCTGGATTCTTCAACACCTCTAGTTTTGACTTTCTAAACTTTTCTCACTCACTGAATCATACTTCTTGAATAATATCTTCTAATCCAAACCTGTCCGATTACTTCTAATTCCCTTACTACCTCTACTAATATTGGATTTGAATTGACAATTATATCTCTGTGCTGATGTGGTATGGCAACATGAACTGATGTACTTACGTACAGAGTTCTACGTTGCATCTGACTGACTGACCCAATGTGTGTCCAATCCACTTACATTGCTTCTTCCTAATTAATTTATTTTTCAACTGTACAAATCATCTGATTTGTTCTATTCCACTCTTTTCTTTCTACAATTATGCCATTTTCTATAATTTCATTCGATTTATTGTCCTGTTTTTTTTTCGGTCTATCTTTTTTGTTTTCAAAATTACAAAATCAAGTTGATTTATTCCTTGTATTGATTAGTTCAATGAATGTAGAAATTGATTATTTAATTGGCCAATAATCGACTAGTAGGTATTGCTACTGGTCGCCATTCAATGATAAACCATCTACTTACCTATCTGCCTACCTACAAATGGATACATAAGTAGAGTTTGTTGCATCGACAATGTCAAGTGGTTAAAACCTTAGTTGAAATCAATACGTAGTGGTAGTAGTAGTAGTAGTAGTAGTAGTAGTAGTAGTAGTAGTAGTAGTAGTAGTAGTGGTAGTAGTAGTAGTAGTAGTAGTAGTGATAGAATAACCAGAAAAATCTCTCATCATCGACTTTATTCAATAAATCCAGCCGGTTAGTTATGTGCTGGTATATCATAGGTGAGTCAGAGTTAAACATTAAAACCGTTGGATGCCGCGCGCCTGGGTTCGAATCCTGTGGGTAGCAGCAGGACTTGTGGATGCGCATTGCTTATGATGAGTCCTATCAGTCAGTCAGTCAGTCAGTTATAACGTAGAACTTCTCACGTACGTACGAACATTAGTTCAGCTTGTCATGTCACCACATTAGCACAGAGATGCAATTGTCAGTTCAAATTCCATGGTGATAGAGATCTTCAAGATTGGGTTGCGTCGGCACCTGAACTAGTGATATGGAGTGAAGTAGTCGAGCGTGTTGACCGCCTCACTTATCTGGGGAGTCTCACCAGTGCTGATAGCCTGGTGACTGACGAAATCTCAGCACGGATACAGAAGGCTCGATTGGCTTTTGCCAACCTGCGTCACTTATGGCGAAGGCGAGATATCCGTTTGCTGACTAAAGGACGAGTGTACTGAGCATCAGTTCGCTCCGTCTTACTTTATGGCTGTGAAACATGGCCAGTGAGAGCAGAAGATATTCGTCGGTTACTGGTTTTCAATCATAGGTGTCTTCGAAGCATTGCTCGTATACCGTGGGACAACCGAGTGAGCAATGCTGTCGTTAGGAAACGAGTACTAGGTAAGAATGGCAGATCAATCGATGAAGTGGTGAAACTTCATCAGTTGAGGTGGTTGGGACATGTGTTGCGTATGCCTAACCACCGACTGCCTCGACGAGCTATGTTTTGTGGTGTAGGAGTAGGTTGGAAGAAAGCTAGGGGCGGCCAAACCAAAACATGGCGGAAATGCATGAAGTCACTGACAAGTGGACTGAGTCATGTTGGTAGATGTAGACTACGTGGTTGGGGTCCGCGAGACGAAAGTCACTGATAGTTAGAGACCTTGAATGAAATAGCTGAGAATCGTTTGCAATGGCGCAATAGCATCCATTCGTTGAGCTCTCTTAAGTTCTAATCTTCTGAATACCTTCTCATCTCTATCTTTCTCTTTCTAAATTTATTTCACTGAATTATGCTTCTCGAATCATTTTTTCTCGAACCCTAGTCTTTTTCATTACTGCTAATACTTCTACTATCACTCCCGGATTTGAACCGACAGTTGCGTCTCTGTACTCATGTGATATGACAACCTGAACTGATGTACTTACGTACGAAGTTCTGTGTTGTATCTGTCTGTATGTCTGAAGAAGATTAGGGTTCGAAGAAATTATTCAACAAGTATTATCCAATGAAATAACTTTAGAAAGAGAAAGATAGAGGTGATAAGGAATTCGAACGATTAGAATTTGAGAGGACACAAATTAACACCTGTCTCTCAGTGCTTGTATTGACTATATTTCCATGTACCACAGCTTGTTGATTAGTGTGTACTCTGACTTCACTTCGAAATAATACAGTAACTTTCAAGATGGTTTTTAACAAGTTGAAAAAGACGAAGCTTCGTTTGCGTTAAAAGCAATGAGCAATCAAACTCCAATACATACAGACAACTATGGACGGACATACATTCACTTGGAACCATGTTAAAATATTGAATAGGATAGAGTAAATAGAACACCCTAGATAATTTTTAGAAGCTTGGCATTCAATTTCATTAAAAGCAATTAATAAACACATCAACATTGACCCAATTTATCAGCCAATCAGAAAAATCATAGGCAACTATAGGATCAAGAAAAAGATCAAAAGTGCAAACAACGACATGTACAAGGTCAATAACAACCAATCAAATCAAGGTTAGAATGTTAAACCTGGAGAAGATATTCGAATATTTCACTTCGATCTAATATTGTATTCATGAAGAAGAACAATGAAACCTCCACAACCAAAACATCCAATTCAGAGAATGCAACTCCGCCACAATCATCCACCTGAGCTACAAATTTTCTCTACCATCTCAAAAGTATCAAAAATTTGGTGAGGAATTAGGGTTGCGTTTAGTAGAGCTTTCATCTACATCTTTCATCGTCAAACATACTCCTTGTTGTAACGCTTGCTTAGATGATTCCCAGCTTAATCCTATTGCTTAGTATTCTCTGACCACAATACACTGGACAAGTTCCCAAGAATCAAAAACACGGTTGAACAGGAAAAGATTATATTCCAAATAGCAAGGTTAAATGGAAATAAGAAGCCAAAGGTGATGGCGAAGTCAAAGAATGCAAAAATAGATACAACGTTAGTTTATTTATAGCATTTACATGAGAAGCTTCTGGGTAGAAATTCACGTGATCGAATGGATTAGATTTAACCAATCAGCATTCAGCTAACAGTACGAGAGTCTTCAACCCTGTTCTCCAAGAATCGATCAGGCGCTGATTGGATAGGAAATTAGCCAATCAGCGCGTAGCAACGTAATCATGCCTTAACTCCATCTATGTCCCACTAACACTCCTATTGAATTGCAACATTTTTCCATTGATTATTATTTTAAAAAAAAAATAAAAACACTACGTTATTTTTTTTTGTTTCCAACTCTTTCTTTGTGTAAGTTGTTGTTGTTTGTGTAAGCGTACAATTTTTTGTAATCATGTGATTATTTCCTTAAGTTCATTTCCCTTCAAATATGATCAACCAACTGTTAGTATATTATTTTTTTTAAAATTTAAAATTCTTAAGTAGTAATTAAAAATAAAAACTATTTTATAGTAGTAGACGATCATCTATCTGGGTGAAGTTCTCTGTGAACATGATTAGATGTTGACTAGTTGTGGTATTCATGAATGTACACACTGCTGCTAATGAATTCCATACATACCAGGATGGAACGGCCGTCTTTCAGTGCTTCTAGGTTTTCTAATGATCGATCGTCTAACATTATTGATTATCGGTCGATTCATGATTTCAATAAAGTTGCTCAACAATCTTCACAATCCTTTCAAGATTAAGCGTTCACATGTGAGACTGATGGAAATGCCTTGGAGGACGTTAACACCTTTACTTATCTTGGCAGCATCATCGATGAGAAAGGTGTATCCGATGCAGATGTGAGGGCGCGTATCGGCAAAGCAAGAGCTGCATCTATACAACTGGAAAAATATCTGGAACTTCAAACAGCTTTCAACCAAAACCAAAATCACGATTTTCAATACAAATGTCAAGACAGTTCTACTGTATGGAGAGGAAACTTGAAGAACTACCAAAGCCATCATCCAGAAGATACAAATATTTATCGACAGTTGTTTACGCAAAATACTTCGTATTCGTTGGCCAGACACCATCAGCAACAACGTACTGTGGGAGAGAACAAACCAGATTCCAGTGGAGGAGGAAATGAGGAAGAAGCGGTAGAAGTGGATAGGACACACATTACGAAAAGCACCTAACTGCGTCACGAGACAAGCCCTCACATGGAACCCTCAAAGCAAAAGGAAAAGAGGAAGGCCAAAGAATACATTACGCCGAGAAATAGAGAAAGATATGAGAGGAATGAACAAACATTGGACAGAACTGGAAAGGGAAGCCCAAGACAGTGTTGGTTGGAGAAAACTAGTGGGCGGCCTATGCTCCTCCATTGGGCGTAACAGGCGTAAGTAAGTAAGTAAGTAACGTGAGACTGAAACTTCGTGGTTCATGGGGGTGAGCCGCATCACTGGGAGTAGCCCCATTTTAAGATGAAACGACTGTCTTACAGTGAGTGCTTGCAAGTTTCTAATGATCGTCTTAATTTAGTTCATAATAAATTATCCACATAAACTCGCTTCATCAATTTTTCATATTCTTGTTTGTTATTTTTATTAAATATATTATGTAATGGTCTTTTTTTTCTCTCTCTCTCTCCCTCTCTGTCCCGCTTCATTTCTCTATTCACACACACACACACACCCGCGTACACACAATATCCTCTTATCATTTCTAAATGCGATATGAAAATCTGTATTGTATACAAAAAGGGCGCTGATTTTGTTGAAATGGATGTCCAACTCACCAAAGATCATCATGTTGTTGTCTATCATGATTTCGATGCTGTTGTCATATCGAAAAAGGTGAGTTATTATTTTTAGTGTAAAACTGTTACAAACCTGGATTCTTAGCATTGCACTCACTATATATTGTATGTTTAGATCCATGTGTGTGCGATATGGAGGTGTTTTTTTTGAAAAAATTTTGTCACCGGTCGGTTTGTGTAGATAGGAAGTATTAACAAGTTCCAGATTAGGATAAAACAAACTTGTCCAGTGTCTCTTCCCTTTCTTAGTGCGCATCCATGACTGCTCCTGCTACTTGCAGGATTCGAACCTAAGGCCTTCAGCGCGCCAACACCTAATCTCTGGGCTGGCATCCAACGGTCTTAATGTCTAACTCTGATCAATCTAAGGATTTAGCGCGATCTCATTGATTGTCTTCGGCAGATACTGTCTACACTCGATAGGATTCATCACGAGCTGATGTCAAAAGGAATAGAAAATTTCAATAATCTAGTTAGTTAGTGAATAATAATTGTCCAGTGAGGGCAATAATAGTTTATAAGTTATTCCAAGAGAAAGAGAGGGAGGGGGCTCAGAGAATTCTTGTCGGGAGCCTATACTCCCTAAGGGGTTAACAGGCTCAAATAAGTAAGTAAGTAAGTAAGTAGTGTTACGCCTGCACGTAAACACGTCAACTGGATATTCTAGAACTATTACGAGATTATCTAGTCGGAAACGCGAGAGCGAGGATCCGGTGACACGACATGCTTCTCAAATCCGATTATTCCAACCCCCATATTGAGTAGAAAATAAAAAGACATGATATGAAGTAGAACCTGTATTCTACAAGCATCCAGAAAGTACGAGGTCCGAGTCCAGAAGAGAAACAGGATCAGGGACCGGTTCCTGGTCTTGGTCATAAAACGTTACAGATAATACGGATTTATACATTTTAGTCGAATGAGAAACAGCATTGAAGTCTGTGACATTGACACTTAGTAGTAACATTTGAAGTGACATTGATAGTCAGGACAACCAATAAAGAAACAACATTGGAGCACGTGACCTTGATATATAGGACGACCATAAAATTGACCGATAATTCTCTTAGGATATTGGATGAATAATATTCTAACAAGTAGGTTAGCGAATTGAACCGTTTCTCTAATCTCCCTTCGGTATTATAGAATAGCTTCTCTTTAATCAAATTAAACTAATCGAAATGAGAATAACTCACCCAAAGGAAAAACATAATCAAATGCAAATATCGAGATCAATAATGAAGAGAGTAGGAAAATGAAAATGATACATTAATCATCTGTTTTTCTTAAATTATTTTATAATTCGTTATCTTTTTATGATATTCATTTCTGTTGTTTGCCACCTCCTCCCCACTCCACCATTATTTCTCAATTCATTTTGTTATATTTACAAATTTCTCTTCGGTCGGGAAGTAACATCCACCCTCATACCTCGTAACACCAAACAAGACCACAATTGGTCACAATTAAAATCTTACTTCCTTTATCAGTTGGCGCTACCGATCCGAATGATTCGAGTACACCTAATGTTATTTCTGACCTCCTGAAACCTCGCTAAATGTTAGAGCTTTTAATGTTCAAACTTTGTGTCAAATAGGACAATAGGCTTCCTTAGCTCTAGGACTTTAGAATTTCGTGCCATCGATGTTTACTAGGTCTCCAGAATGCACATACAACATCCGACTAGTAGATTCATTCATTTAACCCCACCTTGTCAACATAAAGGACCGTCTCAGTCTACTCTTCATGTATCTGGAAGCCCCACTGCTAATCCTCGTGGCCTTTCTGGTGTTGATATAGCATTATTTTCCAAAACAGAACTAGCTATCTTAGACTGTATCCTAGTAGATAGTCACTTGTGTTCTGTCCGACTAAATGGCACAGTAAGGATTTGGAAAGATAGAAATACTCGCCATTGTCTATTCGCTCTCTCAGACTACGATCTCATCAAATTAGTGTCATATTAATTATTTATTGATATACTCTGCACTTACCAAAGGAACATAGTCCGAAAGAATGTGGAGTAACGTAATGGAACTTAATCCCATGGTACCCAGTGTGACCAACCATAGGTTCATATATAATTTTTGCCCCTAAGGATCCTGAAACTTATGTTCGGCATTGGTTCGGTATGAAAGTCTTCCAGCTACACTAGGTGGAACATTTGAATATTTGTTTTTGTCGCCATGAGAAGGTATTGAGTAGAACTTCCCAGGCAATGACTGTAGACGCGTTATCATATGAGAACATTTGAAGAGCAGAGCAAGAGCACACTATTCTCATTCTCGATCGTACCAGAAGACATCGGAGGACATTCGTGACACGAGTTTATTCTGTATTAAACATTTATCACAACACCTCTCTTACTTCAAATCGTTTTTTTTCTTCTCCTTATCAATCTATCTAATCCAATATTTTAAAGTGGATTTCCTTTTGCATAAAATCGATCAATAAAATATCTATTTTCTTTTCTCTGCTAATAATAACAATATTTTTTTTTGATATAAAAAAATCGTATACTAACGTCCTTGATTGGCTGTGGACCAATCAGAATTCAAATAACTTTAAATGTGTATTTTATGAGACATGTCAAGTGCATTGATTGATTGATTGACAACTTGTATGATATCGGTAACGAAATTAGAAATTGGTAATATATATATATATATATATATATATATATATGATAGTCCTTAAAATACTTGAAATCAAACAGAAATATCTAATTATGAAACCGGAAATTTGATTTAATGAAGTGCTTAGGCTAATTTGCCAAACATATAACTGCTCTCAAAGCCGATTGTGTGTTAAAAGTACGTGTTGAGATTTGACACGTTGTTAAAAAGGGTTTAGTGAAGCTAGTTTACTATCTTCCCTTTTTGACTCTCACTCTAAATCTCAACTGTAAGTCTCTTATAAGCAGTTGACTTTTAGTGTGTAAGGATCGGCTGAAAGTTCAAACCAAAACTTGGCAAAAATCTATGAATTCACTGATAACTGAGCCGAACCACCGACTGCCTCGACGAACTTTGTTTTGTAGTGTAGGATTAGGTTGGAAGAAAGTTAGGGGCGGCCAGACCAAAACATGGCAGAAATCCATGAAATCATTGACTAGTGGACTGAGCCATGTCGGTAATTGTCGACTACGTGGTTGGGGTCCGCGAGATGATAATAATCGATGGTTAGAGACCTTGAATGACATGGCTCAAAATTGTCCGCAATGGCGCCAGTGGATTTTGTTGTTTGTGTTCTGTCAAACCCTAATCTTCTGGATTCTTCAACACCTCTAGTTTCGACTCTCTAAACTTTTCTCACTGAATCATACTTCTTGAATAATATCTTCTAACCCTAACCTCTCCGATTACTTCTAATTCCCTTACTACCTCTACTACTATTGAATTTTAATTGACGATTACTTCTCTGTGCTGATGTGGTATGGCAACATGAACTGATGTTTTTATGTACAAAGTTCTACGTTGCATCTGACTGACTGACTGACTGATAACTGAGCTGAGTCATGTTAGTTGGTGTAGACTACCTGGTTGGGGTCGGCGAGACAAAAGTAACTGATGTTTAAAAACTTTGAATGACATAACTCGAAATCGTTTTCAGTGACGCAGGTGCATTCATTCTTTGTGTTCTCTTAAATTCTAATCATCAGAATTCTTCATCACCTCTATCTTTCTCTTTCTAAATTTATTTCACTGAATTATACTTCTTGAATAATAATTTCTTCGAACACTAATCTTCTTTGTTACCGCTAACACTTCTAATACATCTACCATTTGAATCGAAAATTGCATCGGCATACTAATGTGGTATGGAAAATTAAACTGGTGTGCGTACGTACGTACATACTAAGTTCTACGTTGTAACTGACTGACTTAAAGTTCTCTAATTTGATAAATAGTAGAATGACTACTAAGCATTGCATCACAGCCAAAGTCAGTTTGTGATAAAAACTCAGAACTCCAGCTTAACTTTTTTGCACTATAGTTGGTATGTGTTATTCGGTGATGAAAACTGTGCACGGTGATAAACCAAACTAAAAACACAAGTTCAACGTTTGATTAGCGAATTTAATCCTTTTCTTTCCAATACAAAGAATTGATCTAAGTTAGACATTAACACTGTTAGATACCAGCTCAGTGCTCCGATGGTCAGGGTGTTCGCGCACAAGACCGAAGGTCCTGGGTTCGAATCCTGCAATGTGCAAGAGTCGTGGGTGCGCACTGCTGATGAGTCCTATACCATAACGAAACGGCCATTCGGTGCTTCTAGGTTTCTAATGGTGGTCTAACATTGATCGATTCATGATTTCAAATGTTGTGTACCTTAACAATCTTCACAACCCCGTAAAGAATAACTTGTCAATATGTAAGGATTGATTATTGAGATCAAAGATCTTATTCCATTGATGTTTTATGACTTTTCACTGTTGAGTATTTTATAACTAGTTACAATTTTCCGATTGGCTATTAGTTCGCTCAAGGTCATCAGTCTATTATTCTATTTTTTATAATGGTTTCTGAAATGTAGTTGACATAAAATTAACATCAAAAGTACATGTTGTGTTTTATCACACAATAACTAAATTAATTATCATTCACTCACTTGGTTTTTTATGGCGTTCGAACTTCATTTCACCTCATTTTACCTCTGCCATATAGACTGATCATTCAAATAACCAAACATTATAACATGAGATTTCAAGTCAAAGACAGTAGTTTGTTGAGTCTCACAATTCCTAACTGAATTGTAAAACTTGATGTTTGTTAATCCTAACAGTTGAATTGATTCTACATTGCACCATTGCATCACTATTTGGGATTCGAGCTGTTATAATTCTGTCTTTATTACAGCTCAACTATTCCCTAATGCTTAGTATTCGCAACCACCAATTCACTCGAGACGTTCTTCCGAAAATCAGAACACGAGTTGAACAGGAAATAGATTATGCTCCAATATGAAGGTTAGATGGAAGTCAGAAGGTACAAAGGAAAAAGATGTCAGTAAATTGATAGTTTTCTTATACGA